TTACTTCATAAAAATTGCTGAAATTGCTAACATAAATGGTTTATAGATGTTCATGTGTTGCTTTGTACATATGTAATACAATGCTTATGAATAAACTCTTACCCAAAGCATTCACTGATTGATATATTAAGTAGTGGATGATATAAAGGACCATGGGAACGTAGGGAATTCTTAATTTAGCAATTCATTGATTAGCATTTGATTTAGCAATTCTTAATCAGATGTTTTCCATTTGAGTACAGATCCAAAACCTCCTGTGGTCTTTCGTCATTGCTTTATCTGAAGTGGAAAGACTGTAAACCCCTCCAAAATCAGAATGTCTTACTGAAAAGCTTCATGACCTATAATCACATTTCACACATTAGCAACAATGTTTCAGATGCATCTGGGTATAATTCCAGTGTTTGCACAGTACAACCTGTTCTGGCTGAATATGCTGTAAGAAAATGTTCCCAAAGCTAACCGATTTGTGCAGGACGCTGTTGTGCTAAATCTACTCCGGCTGTGAAACAGGACTGTCTGGCCAATTACCTAAAAATCTGACCATTTCTTCAACATCTGAATTGGCATGCTAACCGAGGGAGTTCAAGAGTAAGCCAACAGTACCTTGAAGCTAGTCAGAAAGATCTTATGGTCATATTGCTAAGTGCTCCTGACTAGCTTTATATGCAGTAGTTAGCAGCCATAGCTAACCATAGCTAACCATGGTTAGCAGCCATAGCTAAACCTAACCACATTAGCTTTGGGTGCTAACTACTGCATAGCTTTATGTGCAGTAGTTAGCAGCCATAGCTAACCATAGCTAACCATGGTTAGCAGCCATAACTAACCATAACCACATTAGCTATGGCTGCTAACTACTGCAAAGCAGTATATACAGTAATTAGCAGCTATAGCTAACCATAGCTAACCATGGTTAGCAGCCATAACTAACCATAACCACATTAGCTATGGCTGCTAACTACTGCATAGCTTTATATACAGTAGTTAGCAGCCATAGCTAACCATGGTTGGCACCCATAGCTAACCAAAACCACATTAGCTATGGGTGCTAACTACTGCATAGCTTTGTATGCAGTAGTCAGTCACTTTTCATAGAATTGTTATTCAAAAATAAAGATGGTTCTTCAACGATTCCCTAGTAAAGGCAATGGTTCTATTTAGAGCTCTTTTTGAAAATGATATCTATATAGCACCAAAAGGGTTCTTCTATTTTTACGATGTGAAGCTTGTAACAATAGCAGAACGCTTTTTGGTTGCTATATAGAACCACTTTCAAAGGTTCCATATAGATCCATTTATAACACGTTCTCCATCAATCTGAAGAGCATTTTCACCATGAAAATGAAATGGATCTATATACAACTCACAGTTCTAAACAGAACCATTGCCTTTATACTAAGAACATGTGAAGAACCATCTGTTTTAAAAGTCTGACCCAGACAGTGTAGACTGAAATATAGTAAACATAAACTGATGGTTTACTCACTCATGTAAAGCATTTTGGGAGAAATAACAAGTTATAACATGGTAATAAGATAGTCGTTACTAAATAATAAATGGTAAGTATCTATTTATAGTCAAATCTTGATGTAAAATTACTATATGTAGCATTTTGATTGGTAAGATTTCATTATGTGAGGCAATCTGGATATTAATTTTGTTGAAACGTCATTCTTGATGCTATTTTTCAATCATTATGGAGTCATCTACAGCTCCGTCGACCATCAAAATGTTTTTGAGCTTCTACAGATTACCTAAAACCTATAGAAAAATAGCATTATAACAATCATTTTATATATGTGTCTACAGCAAAGTTTGGTTTTATATCATTCAAAACAGTGATTCCAATCTTTTAAACACTGCTGGACATTCTAGATGCTGTAACTATTATGTTAAACTATAGTGGTCATTTTAAACTGAGCTCACTGACTCATCAATAAATACATTCTGGCCCAGTGTGAGAGGCTAACTGGGTACAGTGTTGCGATATTAGCCTTATGTATGTGTATGTGTGAGTGTGTGATAGACAGGCCATCTAAAACGCATTAAGGTCGAATACCACAGCATAAACGTAAGTCCTTCGCACACTATTCTGCATTGTGTTGGTGTGTTTGTTTTGGCGTGGGTCACTCACAGGGCAAACGCCAGTACAGTGCCCCTCCTGCAAGAATGGCTGGCACTGGAACAGCTCTTTCCTCCCACTCTCTCTCTCTCTCTCTCTCTTTCTCTTTCTCTTTCTCTCACTTATCCCTCTCATCCTAGTGTTTCTGTGGTTCTCTGACTTCCCAACTCTTATTACCCCATTTAATGCAATACATACACCGATCAGGCATAACATTATGACCACCTCCTTGTTTCTACACTCACTGTCCATTTTATCAGCTCCACTTACTATATAGGAGCACTTTGTAGTTCTACAGTTACAGACTGTAGTCCATCTGTTTCTCTGCATACTTTGTTAGCCCCCTTTTACCCTGTTCTTCAGTGGTCAGGACCCCCATGGACCCTCACAGAGTAGGTACTATTTGGGTGGTGGATCATTCTCAGCACTGCAGTAACACTGACGTGGTGGTGGTGGTGTGTTAGTGTGTGATGTGCTGGTACGAGTGGATCAGACACAGCAGTGCTGCTGGAGTTTTTAAACACCTCAGCGTCCTGTGGGCAGCGTCCTGTGACCACTGATGAAGGATGAGAGGATGACCAACACAAACTGTGCCGCAGCAGATGAGCTACCATCTCTGACTTTACATCTACAAGGTGGACTGACATGGTAGGAGTGTCTAATAGAGTGGACAGTGAGTGGACACAGTGTTTAAAAACTCCAGTTTTGCACTGCTGTGTCTGATCCATTCATGCCAGCACTGAAGCTATGAGGCTAATGTAGCTTAAGTACAACAATGACTCCCTTTTAATACATCTTGATAACACTGACCATTGACTAACCATGACATAAACATGTCATGGACGATGTCGTATGTTGTCATAACAGAATTTTTTCATGATATATCAGCATCATGTTAAAATTAACGTTAATCGGCAAAATAGATGCCATGATCTTCGACATCATGACAGCTAAGCTATCATTCCATCCAACATTATGATGTTTGTAATTACAGTTAATGGCCACATCCATTGCTAACAAGGGTATAAAATCAAGCACATAGCCATGCAATCTCCATAGACAAACACTGTACAGTAGAATGGGTCGCACTGTGGAGCTCAGTGACTTTTAACATGGGACTGTGGTAAGGTGCCATATCTGCTACGTCTGCCCTAGACAACTGTAAGTGCTATTATTGAGAAATGGAAGAATCTAGGAGCAACAAGATCTCAGCCACGAAGTGGTACTCAAACAGTAGGGCTGAAGCCTGTCCTCTGTGGCATCACTCACTACAGAGTTCTACCTCTGGAAGCAACATCAGCACAAGAACTGTGTTAGACTTGGGTTTGCGTGGCTGAGCAGCTGCACACAAGCCTAAGAATACTGGTGTGGTGTAAAAGGAGTGGTGTAAATCACGCCGCCACTGGACTCTGCAGCAGTGGCAACCTTCTCTGGAGTGGTGAATCATGCTTCACTTTCTGGCAGTCTGATGGATGAATCTGGGTTTGGTGGATGATGTAGAACGCCATCTACTGGAATGTATAGTGCCATCAGTAAAGTTTGGTGGAGGACGGATAATTGGCTGGGGCTGTTTTTCAGGGATTGGGCCCCTGGGTTTAAAAGGGTAATGTTAATGCAGCATACAACAACATTTTTGACAATTACATGCTTCCAACAGTTAGAGGAGCTCTGATTCTGAGCCAGGCCTTTTTATCCAACATCAGTTGCTGACCTCACAAATGCTCTTTTTACCGAATGGGCAGAAATTCCCACAGACACTCTCCAAAACCTTGTAGAAAGCTTCACATCAGAGTGGAGGCCATTATAGCCGCAAAGGGGGGACCTCCATATTAAGGCTCATGAAATTGGCATTTGAATGGGAAGACCAACAGGCTCATATGGGTGTTGTGGTCAGGTGTCCACATACTTTTGGCAATATGAAATCTGTCACGACATGCTTATGGCATAGTTATGTCAATGGTATGTAGCAGAGAAAAGTGTTACCATATTTCTTTTTTTTTGGATTTAAATTTTCCAAAACAATTGTTTTATAAATTAAAAATATGGCCTTTGGATATCAGAATTAATATGTTCATTTCATTGTGACAAAGACACTCCTTTGAATCATTTTTGTGTATTGTTTAGTCTTGTTTTACTGGTTAATCAAGAGCACAGTATTCCCTCTCATGCTGTAGAAGAACAACTTTAGATCATTTTTGTTGAACAAAATCTAGCATAAATCCAGCTATTAGCAATATTTTGGGAAATCCTTTTGTAATGTGCTTCAGGATAAGGTTAGGAATGGTCATGCCAAATTTTAGGAATGCAAGTGTTCAAGGTTTTGGTTCTGAATGTAGAGAAAAGCTGACTTTAAAAAAATATATATATATGATTTTAAGAATCAGCATAAAACTGCATTCTTAGAAAACATGCACCATGTTTGGGAAAGGAAATAGACACAGTTTGATTCAGAATGTTTTTTTATTAATATATGAAATGATGTGGTTGTGCCAAATGTAGGCGGAGCTAAACTATCAATAAAGTTGAAACGATGTTAAAATAAAACCCTGTTTAAACAGCTATATTTATGTTTTGTTTGGGTATTTTTATGACCACAGTTAAAAAAAAAAAGTTTGACTTGTACAAAATGGTAATTTCCTGCATTAAAATGCTACTATTTTTAATCTGTCTGATGTTTATAGATAACAGTATATTATACAATATCAGAACCACATAAGCAAGTCTATTAGAGATTCCTGAACAACTCCACAGTGATGATTTACATATGCAGTTAGCATGATGCTAATTGGTGAGGCATAAGCTTCCACATCCAGCTTTATTAGCCTTATAAGCACCATTTGCACAAATAGAAATGAAGGTATGTGTTGTATTTCAGAGTTCTCGAGAGGACAGAGAGAAGGAGCGGTCTCGTTTGGACTCCATGGTTCTGCTCATAATGAAGCTTGACCAACTGGACCAGGAGATCGAGAGTGCTCTAAGCTCCGCCCCCACAAACAATGGCACACCCACCCTCAAGAGACGCATCATCTCCGTGAGTAACACTTTTAAGCAGATCTCCCAGCGATCAGTTATTCTCATCCAGACCTGATCTTTGGGTGAGTCCTGATTGGAGCTTTTGTTTACTGTTTGTGTCCTTGATATAAACAGGAAGTGGATTTACAGTCTCTGGATGGAGACGAAAGTCTGTCCAGTTCTTTGCGCTCTCTGAACACTCCTCATCATCAGTCGTCATCATCACTGTCCTCCACGGGGCTGAGTGGGACCCCCGGGGCCAAACCCAAGAACAGGGTGAGTGTGTTGTACAGCTAATAAAAGCATGGCTGTTTAGTGCATGAGTTATGATATTTACATAAAAAAATATATATCATAAAATTTGATGTTTCAAATTGAAAATGGCTTAATTAGCTTACGTGACCCTTATTAGTCCCACAATGGGGAAATTTCACCTCTGCATTTAACCCATCCGTGCAGTGAAACACCACATACACCCCAGTGAAGACACGCACTAGAGGGCAGTGAGCACACTTGCCCAGAGCGGTGGGCAGCCCTATCCACAGCGCCTGGGGAGCAGTTGGGGGTTAGATGCCTTGCTCAAGGGCCCACGACTGCCCCAAAGTTCACATTGAAGGGGGCACCCAGCTTGATAGTGAAAGCTCATGAATGTTCTTTAAGTTGGCTAGGCTGTTGATTGTGTTTAATAACTTAATTTGGTTCATATAGTTATTCCAGGTGGTTGCTAGAGTGTTTCTTGGAGGTTGCCATGGTATTCCATGGTATTGGTGTTACTATGCAGTTGCTATCGTGCTCCAGCTAGTTGCTAGGATGTTGCTATGGTATCTTAGGTAGTTGCTAGGGTGTTGCTAAGTGGTTCATATGTTAACCCATTTGGTTGCTATGGTTTTGGGGGTGGTTGTTAGGGTGTTGCTAGGTGGTTGCTGTGGTATTTGTGGTGGTTGCTAGGGGTTTGCCAAATGGCTTTTTGTGATGTTCCAGGTGGTTGCTAGAGTATTATTATGTGGTTGCCATGGCATTTCTAGTGGTTGCTAGGTGTTTGGTATTATTATGGTATTATTTTTTTGCAAAAAATAATAATAAGCAGAAATTAAAGAACAGTAACTTGGCTATGTCAAATCAATTTAACCCCTTAACTAGCAAAGGTTGAATATGGGCCCACACTCCTTGCTCTCATAGTAGCTGAATCATAAGCCTGCAGAATATTAAAGTTTTGAAAAATTTGATTTTTCAGGAGATACTTTGAATTTTGTTGCCACGTGGCAACAGCATGTGACAATTGAACTGCAGCTGGCACACACAATGGGAGTTATCCAATAGCCTACCATTGTCCAGTGAGTCCAATGGCAGTACACTCTTTCACCCCTTTGTATGCATTGCAGATAGCAGTTCCAGTGTTACATGCTGTTGCCATATGGCAACAATTAAATTTTATCGGTTTTACACAAAACCCATCATCTAAACTGGTTATATTTCTGAAAAAAGTTATGCACTTTTTTCTTAGCCTGGCTGCTGAAGTACTCTCAAAGTATGTGTATAAATATTAATGCGTGTAATTCAATGTTTATGTTTATATATTTATGCATAAGTTTACACATAAAGCCTGTCCCAATGGAAAAATGGACTTTTATGTTGCAAGAAACAAAAGCCACTGTTGCCGTAGGGCAACACAATGCAGTAAAGGGATGTAAGTAGTTTTATTGATTCACTGTTTGACTGATTGAGCAACTCGTTTCCCACCAATCGTATTTAGTTTTGAGCACAGGATTATTGTATTATCCTCATTTTATACCTTTATCTTCAACTAAATCGTTGTTTTTATTATTGGAAACATTGATTCCGAACGTTTGAATGGGGCATATGTAATTACAGTCCATTTAGCAAAGCTGGTGGATTTGCTGATGTTGCTACTCTTTGCAGGCCTTAAAGCGCATTCCAGAGGAGTTTGTTTTATGGTCAGCTTCAGGTGGAGTAAAGCAGTTTTAATGAGATGAGCAAATATAGAGCACTTAGCGCAGAAAACACACCAATAGAACACAAGCACAAACATGTCAGGACTCTTTCACCGCTCTCTCGCTTTTCTCTCTGTGGATGTGTGACGCACTCTGGAGTCACTCACTGGAGACGGCCGGGGTCATCGCCGCGGGACAGTCGCGCACGACTGGAACGACCGTTGCTTAGAAACAGATGTTTACACAACCAATCACGAGTATGAAGCCTTATGACCTCACTGTCTGCATCGTTCAAGAAAGAAAACGTTTATTTTAAGGTTTGTTTAGCCAGGCCGGACCCTCATAGCTTCCTGGTAGACTCATCCTCTTGGCTGTATAGCTGGCAAAACCTTTAAATGTCATATTTGGTCTTCCTGTGAGCCTAGGAGCACTTCTTTTACTCATCTTGAAACCAGCAACCCAGACAGATGTGGATACAGAGGTGAGCAAGACAACAGGGAAGTTCGGGGATTTTAGTAATGATTAATTGGAAGTCTTTGAAGAGCATTGGTTAAGGGATGCTCAGCATAGATATAAAACGTTTTTGAAAACAAAATGCATCTTTAACATGGAAAGACAATATTAGCCAGTGCACTGTGTGGCCAAAAGTATGTGGACACCTGACAATCATGCCTAAAAGAGCTTGTTGGGCATTCCATTCCAAAACCGTAGACGTTAATATAGAGTTCCCCCTCTTTTTGGCTACAACAGCCTCTACTCTTCTGGGAAGCTTTCTGCAAGATTTTGATGTGTGTTTCTGGGAATTTGTGGCCATCATTCAGTCAAAAGAGCATTTTGAGGTGAGACACTGATGATGGACGAGAGTGCCTGGCTCGCAATTGATGTTCCAGTTCATCCCAAAGGTGTTCAGTGGGGTTGAGGTCAGGGCTCTGTGCTGGCCACTGGAGTTCTGATTTGTCTAACAAAGAACCATTTTGGATTCAGCCATGTGTGCACAGTTCATACTGGATGTTAAGTGCAATTTTTGGGTGTAAAAAACTCATTTTCCTGACTTTACAATAATGTTATAAACATTTAAGGACAATGATAGGGTTAACAATAAATTGAGAAGTTTGAGTAAGTCAATAAAAAGCATGTACTTGGTCATACTATCTCTTAGTGGGCACATTTAAACCTCTTTTTTAATGTTCAGTATCATTTTTTTTTGTTATGAGATTTTGCAGAAATATGTTTGTTGCCTAGAAGCAACTTTGTGCAACAGTGGAATGGATTTAGCCAGTCACAAACCAGGTCTCACCACTTGAGGGAATACAGCTCTATATTATTTCTTCCCATTGTTGCACAATGTTGCCTCAAGGCAACATACTCCAAAAGGACCCCTGCACACATTATGCTGTTGAATTTAATAATTGGGTCTGAAAAAAAGTAAATCAAGAATAATTTTATGCAAGAAAAGTGAACTAAATATGTTTTTTTTTTTAATTGCTCTCTTAATGCATGCAGAAGAGGGTTAAATAAAAAAAAGTCAATAGGTTTAATCTTGTAACTTACCTGTATTTTGTTTTATTTTCACTCAATCAAAACAACCCAACTGCAGTTTGAATGATATTATCTGGCTTTCACAGTGAAAAAACATGATTTATGAAAATTCATTAAAATGGAGAGGGTAACACTTTCTATGAATGTCACCTTTGTAAGCATCTATAAACACATTCATAACATGTTATAATGCATGCATAAGACATTATAAACATGGCTATAAATATGTATAAAAATGCATTATACATTATAGCCATGTTTATTATGCATTAAGAATTGTTAACATAATACATTATAAGTACTGATCATAACAAATTATGAGAGCTCATAAGTCGTATTTGTCCGCTCTAAGTAAAGTGAAGCGTACTGTACTAAAGCCTCCTCCAGTGTTCAGAGTGAGGCTTCAAGTTGAAGTATTTACTGAAGGATTTACTGAAACACTAAAACATTCACAGTAAAGCACATTACAGGCTTCAAATGTCAGAGTTTAAACTAGAGCTGCCATCAGTGTTTTACCCAATGTGGGAAAGGTAATGTACACCACCGTTAGCTTGGTATTTGTCTTTACTTTACGCTCTCCAAGCTGGGACTGACTTCATTGGCACTGACATTATAACATGTTATTAACACTATTTATAATGCATTATATTAACAATTCATAATGCATAATACAAATGGCTGTACAATTCTTTCTTATAAATATTTATAACCATGTTTATAATGCCTTATGAATACATGATAACATGTTATAAATGTGTTTATAGATGCTTGCAAAGGTGACATTCATAGAAAGTGTTACCATGGAGATATCTGTTCGTGCAAATGAACTTGTATACAAGGCGGATCTGACTGGGGCAGAAATGTAACAAACTGGCTTAGAGAAAAGATGACAGTGCCACGTTCAAAGCCGCTGAGCTCTTCAGTACGACTCTCTCTACTGCCAGCGTTTGTCTATGGAGATTGCATGGCTGTGGTCTGTTAGCAATGGGTGTGGCTGAAACACCTCCTTAGGAATTAGGCGTGTCCACAAACTTTTGGCCCTATAATTTGAAATTAATAGCACACACTAACTTTAAGCATTCAAGACATAAACTCAGTTGTTCAGCCTTTCAACTGTAGCTATGAAACAACAGACTTGTTGGTGGAGCAAGGATAAGGCAGTTTAACAGTTTTCCGTTCAATGTGGGGACATTTAATTCCCTTAAAAATCCCAAAACAAATCGTCTGGACGCAGACAGACAGACGATTGAGTAGGATGTAGTACAGACTGAGACAATGCTCTGCAGAGTTCATAACCTAAAATGAATTAAAAGCAGAAATGAATCCAACCACAACAACAAACAGACGAACGGACACTGGGTTCTGTTTATTGTTGTGACTTTTGTTTTTTGTGTTTTGTATTTTTTAATGCAAAACAAGACTGTAAACACACAGTAACTTGTCATGAAGTTCTAATCATAATAAAATACCTCCTCGTGTTTTTACGAACACTAATGTGGCTTTTTTCTAGGATGCTAATATATTTTAGACTTTTAAATGTTCAGTAGCAGCTATGAATATAAATCAGGGGTGTAACAATAAATAGGTAAACAGTTTGTGTCTAAATGCTGAATAGCAGCTATAATGGTATAAAACATGTTCATAGCAATGCGCACTGATCTTGTGTGCAGTGGGTACTGCTGTAGTCTACCTGCTCTGTTTGTGTGTTTAAGCATCTGTACATTTCTACGTTCCTCGCATTCCTCACAGGATTATGTAAGTGTACCAGGTAAACATAGAGAGATT